ACATAAAAACATATTAGAAGCCAGAGAGAATTTAAAGAATTTGATCAAACACTTAGAATAATTTAGGTTCCTCTGAACATTTCAGTGTCAACTCCAATCTGAGGAGCAAGGGTGTTAGGGGAAATGTATCCTTATTACAAAGAACATTATCTCCAGATTTAAAAAACAAATAGCTGTGCAAGTGCTGCATTCATCTTGTCTGCATAAACTGAATAGCAAAGCAGCTTCATTCAGTTTTCTTGAAAGTTTAATTTATATGTTGAGCAAGAATTTTTGAAAGACAAGTTTATTTCATAAAATCATTTCTTTCTCGGTTTTGTACAGATATGTTTAGTTATTCCACAGAGGGCATATTCCATTTAGAAAAAAGCAGAACACAATTCGAGATAACAGAAGAGGGCTAAGCTTTAGAAAATACATTGTTGCCTAAATTCATCCTTGGAGTAAGCTGGCACAGCTCAAATATCAGAAATAAAAACCTTTTCCATTGTATTTGACTTGTTCTTTCATTCTTAATAGGCGCAAGTGAAAAAATTTGGCAGTAGACCTGCACACACTTAGTCTCCCATGCTGAATTGTTTTAATTCACTTTTCAACTCTTTTTTTTTCACGAAAGCATACAGGAAAAACCCAATGACAAGCAATTCCTGTTTGTTACTCTCTTTGGCCATGACTAAGCTGTGATGTAGATGGGCCCCGCAGGGTCCCAGCTCACCCATACTGGGGACAGTGACACAGCTCACCCCACTCCTGAAGGCCCAAGCTCCTTCCAGAGGAAACCAGAGCAGGTTGATGCACATCCAGATACTGCCCCAGCCTGGAGCAGGACAAGGCCAAGGTGTTTACTTTGAGCCAGGATCTGGGAAATGCTCCCATCTCCCACAATTCAGATGACATCAGTGAGTAACAGTCTATCACACAAACAGTTCCACTGACTGCAGAGAGATGTAAATTGTTAGGTGTTGTGTAGTGCGAGGCAGTGGCATTTAAGTATTCCAGCCTGGAATCGATCGGCTTATTGCAGCATCTCCCAAACTATGGGACAACACCTACTGTTCAGGCAGGAGCACATGCTGCGAGGTGGCTGCTTCTTCTATCATTTCAATTCTCAGCAAGGATTTGGAGTGCATGGGATTCTCCAGGAAATGTAAGGTGGATGGTTTCTTCGGGAAACTTCAACCTGGTTTAGCAAATCCACAATAACAGAATGAGCTCTAATCATTATTTTCTGCCTTTACCTTAAAACACAGAAAGTGACAGTCAATGTAACTGGAAGAGATTTATGTATAGAATGTCTGTGGTGCCATATGCTTTTGGCAGGTAATTATTAGGTCCTCTACTCATCCGGTAAACTCTGATAAATTGTTTGCTAAAGTAAAGCAAAGGGCCTGATCATGCAACCATGCAACTCTGCTGTTTGCAAGTAGTTCCATATTCAGTGAAGACAAGGAGGCTTTCCACTAAGTAAAATAGGTCAGATTTAGAGCTCCTGGCACTGTGTCTGCAATGGAGACCAGAAAATGATGCAGAGCCATTCAGGGCAAGGTTCAGACTTGGGTGTAAGCAAATAAAGCACAGTAGACTCTGGGGCAGACAGAATGGCTCTGGAGAAGATGCTGTAAAGATCGCTCCGAGTTTCTCATTCATGTTTCTCATTCAGGTTTTTTGTGGAAGTCTGAGGAAAGCATCCTCTGGAGGTTCGCAGATTGTTCATAGTTTTTCACCGTTTAGTAAATACAGGCTCCGCATTGTCCCAGAACCACTCTGGTGCCACTTTCACAAGTACTCTGTGGCCTAGGGTCTGACTCGGCGTTCCTGCACTCCAGCCTTCTCTTGAGGAAGAACATTTGCTGAGTAGCCGTATGGGATCAGGAGAAAGGTCTGGATAGTGCAGTATCCTTCCTCTGAAAGTGGCCAGAAGCAGAGTTTTTTGGGGGAAGAGGAACAGGGCACATATATATGATATTCCTCCCAAGTACTCCTTTAGCTTCTAGCAATCAGCATCTCAGCATCCTGATATAGTTTAAATCTATTTAGAGAATTGTGCAAAAGTCCCACGCTCCAGATTGAACTTGAACCCACAGAATGTGGTTTCAGTCAGTGACTGTCCAATTAGTTCCTTAATCTTTGGAACATAATTGTTCAATAACTGTTTGTATTTTAAAACCGTCTAACTACCTAATCTTCCTGTGAAACAAAAAAAACCAAAACCAAAACCAAACCCACCATGTTTTTCATGTAGCTTGAATATCTGGCATCTGAGGGGAAGAAGTGCTAAGAATCAAGCTTTGCAATTGCAAATATTATCATAAATAATAATGTGTGATAAGAAAGCTTGAGCCTGTGCCACCTGTAGGCTGCCAGAATGGTTGGGAAGAGAATTGACCTTACAGGTACTGATACATACCTGCCAACAACATGGTAGTGTGTGTACATATGGGGTCAAAAAAACCCGGTAAATGATCAAGGGGACTATCTCCTGATGCGTCCTCACCAGCCCACCCATCATCCTCAGATGCCTGGTTGAGGAAGATTAATTTGGTGCATTATGCTGTGTCACTGATGTTGCTAGAGTTATATCTCATCTGTTATTCTGGTGAGACCAGAAATAGCAAGCTGTTGGTAAACCGATTCCTAGCAAGAAGCCGTGTCCAGATGTGTTATCCAGCACACATCAATCTGCCACAGCTGTCAGTGGCAGACCCTATCGTCACCAACCACAGGAAAAGATTCGAGGGCAGTGAGCAAACGCTCATCTGCAGGGCTGCAGGCAGACTCCCTCAGTGATTAACAAGACCCTACCATGCCCCTCATTTCACGGTCACTTTGCCTTGCCACAGGAGGAATGTGCACCCATATGAAGTGCTTAGAAGAAAAGTTCTCCAGGTGTGCACATCCTGACTAAGAGGAATTGTTAAGTTTGCTAGCCCTGACAGCATGTTAGGCTCACCTCTCCTTGAGTGGATATTCAGCCTCTAGGAGCCTAGCATGGCATTCATTGTACATCTCTATGGCCACAGGAAGAGGCAGAAGAGATTTGCAGCTGAGAGGGTCTGTCTTGCATATGCAGAAAGAGCTGCACCCCTCTGCCAGTTGCCAGGTGGTTTTAGCTGTTTCAGAGGTGCTCAGTGAGCGCATCACTGGGGACACCCCGTACAATGTCTGTGCACTTCACTGCACTGCATCCCTGTTGGACTTGGCAAAGCTACGTGCTCTTCACGGAGAAAACAGGAGGTCTTGTTGGCTCCAGCCTTTTCATGGGACTAACCTGCATGCAAGAAAAGAAATAGCTAAGGGCCTTTATAAAGTTTCACCTCCCAACAGACTCTGCAATTTTTCAGTTTTTGATCCCCAAAGGGCCAGATTCATCCCAATTTTGAAAACAAAGAAATGATAAACAAGGAGGTGTGTGGCTGCTGGGGGCCACACAGGAAGCCTACATGAGAACAGAGATCCAAATCCTCCCCTTGGCTCAGGATAGCACTGTAACTAATAGATGGGCATGCCCCTCCCCTGCTCCTCTTTACCAGCTTCCAGTCAGCCGCTCAGTCCCGTGGCTTCTCTGTGGCCACTGAGAATTTGCAAAGTTTTAATTGCACAGCATCAAACAAAAAGCTGCAAAAAGGAATAGGTACATGAGATTTTTTTCTTGGCAATGTTTAGGAATGAAGGGGATGAAGAGAAGACACACAAGAAGCCCAGACAGCTCCCCGGTCCCGGACCAGACCCTCACCTCAAAGTGAAGCACGAACTCTCCTCTCTATCCCAAACAGAACATAGGGCTGATGCTCCATAGCAAGATAGCACCTAATTCTGAAACGTCTCAATTCACTGTCTTCACTCAGTATGTACCTTTCTGGGCAACAGTGAGGATGCGTCACGGGCACACATGTGATCGAGTGCGTGCATGTGTGCTTTCCAATTAATTCTTCCAGCTCTTGCGATTTTTTGGTCTCTCTAAAAGGATAACCAGTATAAGAATGACATTTTGCAATCAAATGTTGAATGTGTTTTTTATTTAAACATTAAGATTAAATTACAAAAGCTTCTGGAACAAGGAAAGGATGCCAAGGAGGAAAGAGCTGAAAACTCATTGCATTTTCTCATTCATTGTAAAAGCAAAACACATTGGCAGCAGCAAGGCGTTTTATAGAAAAGTTTCAGATGGACAGTACAAAGACCTTTCTGTCAATATTGTCACTGAAACACCTTGCTGTCATGAAGCACATCTTTTTTTATGATCACACTTCTTGGTGTTGGCTGATTGGTTTTCATTGTGGGAAACAATAATTAGTGCAGATTTACTGTAATTCTTTACTGTTAATCTCTGCTAATATAATGCAATCTTCTTCTTGGGAAAATGGCCAAACATCATTTACTTTACCCTAATAAAAATGTCTACTGCTGCTGTTAAAAGTTTTATTTGTACAAGTATGTTCCTAATCTATGTTAATTTCATGCAATATATCTCTAATTTTTGGAGTAAATACTGAGAATCATTCGAGAAAATTCCTTGGAATGCAAAATCCAAACAAACTTTGTATTTTTTTAAGGGCAAGATTCCACCACCTTTATTTACACAAGTAGCATCCTGCTCCCTATGTTATTTCACTGCAAGCTAGAGGCTCAAGCAGTGAAAATCAGCATAGCCCCATTAGGATTTACTGCATTGTATCAACCTCCAATGAAAATTGGGCTGAGCAGTTTTTTTCTGTGGAGTAATACACTACCTATAACCAGTAAAGGTGCTCAAACATAGCCCTACACTTAATAATTTGGCACATTTACAACTGGCGTTACTCAGTAACTTATCAGATGACAATAGTGGAGCTCTTCTGTAAAATATAGGTTAAGCCTATATTTGTATGACTGTACACCTGAAGTATAAAAACCACGATATGTAGTACACTTGAACAGTTAAAAAATATAACTTATTTTATTTGTAAACTATCAATGCAAGATACTCAGCAGCAAAGAAGCCATGTTCAATGTCTTCTGATCTTTTATAAAGATCTGTTGCTGTAAGTAATATAATCGTCTCTGAAACATCTGAGGTTACATGTAGAAACAATCAAGGCAATATTATTTGTACATATTATTAAACATGCAAAAAACTTCCTGAAGAATATTGCCCAAATGTAGAAAGTCGTCTGGATCTCAAATTTTCCTTGGTAGCATCTGCTTTGTAAGTATGGCTCACATGTGGCTTTAGAGTCCTTCAGTTTATTTTGGAGAATTGGCACCTTTAATAACAGGCTCCCTATTCAAATACGTGGCCCAATAAACTAAGTTAAAAGTTCCAAACAGCACTGGAAAAATTATCCGGGACATTTTGTCAATCTTACTGATGCTGTTGTAAGTCTTTTTGCTTTCAGCAGGCTTTTCTTCTGCAGACTTCACTGGAGCAGATGCAGCGTTTGAGATGACGGATGGGGCTGAGTCCTTTGGCATGTTTGGTGCCGGGGTCATCTTCCCAGTGCTGTAAGTATTAGTTGATTTATTTCCTAGCAATTGGTGCTCTTTTTTCTGCAGTGTAAAGAACAAAACATTAGACTGCAGGAACAAAGTGGAAACACGTTCTCAAGATATTAACCCAAAAATCTAAGTACCGTAATCAATCATGCTAACGAATGCCTATTGGCTATTCCGACTTTGACTACTAAACAGCTGTTTCTGCCTTGACTTTATAGCCCTTACTCAGCTTAAACTTTCCTTGATGGCAGAGAAAGCTAAGAGCAGCCAGCCGGACCCGGATCCCACCTGGCATGTGTATTAGCATCTTCTTTTGTCAGGGCAATGCTGTCCCGCACCTGCAGAGGTTGCTGCCCTGCGGGCAGCTGCCAAGACATGAACCTCACCTTCCTGGCTGCAGCGAGGAGCGTGGTGCAGGGCTCACTGCCCCTGCCAGCTTGCCCTCTTTGTATTGCTCTTTCAGGATGCCTGCGGGTACAAGCTCTCTCTAGGAGATCATTTGCTAAGAGTCAGTCCTATTCCAAAATTTTCATTTCAGCGTGAAACCCAAAAGTTCCTTTTTTCACAGAGCCGCTATTTTGTCTCTTTTTTATTGGGGATACTGTGGCTGGACCCTGACTCACGGAGCTCAATGTGAGCTTTGCCATTTATTTGGGAGAGCACATAGGGAGTGCTCTGCCAAGATATGTTTCATAGTATATGTCTGCTATTATCAGAAGTTTGGTCACTGAAATCCCATGCCACGTGTACTCAATGCCATATAACCTTCTGAAAACACTCCTCTTCATATAGATGGTAAAGAATGATAGTTTATCTCTGTGAAGAGATGGCAGCATATTTCCTTGAAAATTTTCCTCTATAGGAAGGTGAAAGTATGCCATGAAGTAATTAAATACATTTTTCACAAAGAAGCTGAAAATTGTTCATTCAGTTATTTGAACTATGCTGAGTACCTGCTTTTTATTCTAGGTATCTAAAAAATGTAAGGTAAGCACCTTGATTTTAGCAGCTTCCAGGGCTTTTTTGCCATCCCATGCCCAACTCCTCTTGGTGAAATAATTGACTGTTGCAAATTCAATCAATGCAGAAAATACAAAGGCATAGCAGACAGCTATAAACCAGTCCATTGCAGTAGCGTAGGCCACTTTTGGCAAAGAGTTACGGGCACTGATACTTAAGGTGGTCATGGTGAGGACTGTTGTTACTCCTGTAAAGAAGGAAAACAAAAAGAGACAGAGATCAGTTTGGTAGTCCTTACAAGATCCCTAACGACTTACAAGCAGGCCCCAATTCAGCAGGATAGCTAAGTAGGCCACATGAAGTCAGTTAGCATTTGCATATTACGGTCTGAAAGAGTAAGATACTTTGCTCTCCAAGAAAAAATGAAAGCCTCCACCCTCAGGTGTTTACTTCTGTGGTGTTCTGGTTATCTCTAGTTATAGCATATTTAAATAAGTATTTTTAGGGGTAATGCAAACCCAGCTGTTACATAAACCAGAACCTTACTGGTATTTTATCCCTGTATACTGATGCATGGCATGTATAAAGCATCCCTCATTAAGGGGTACATTATAAAATCAGTGAGCAACCTGTTTAGCAGTAACTGTCAGAATAAAGTGGGATTACAGATTTTATTTTCTTACATGGTGATTTTATGTATGAAATGTTGGATGTTATTGATTTCCTTGGCTGTAGCTCCTCCTTTCCCCATAGGTCAGTAAATGACAGAGCTGCCACTACTTCCCTCTGGGGAGGATGCCCCCAGTAGAACAAAATTCAGCTCTCAGTTACAGCTTTGTAAACCTAGAATGGGTACCACTGGTCAGCAAAGCGGTGCTGGTACCTGTATTCTCCCCATACAACTTGCTGAACTGATTTTTGGTCAAAGCTGCCAACTGATTTCAGCAGGTTTGTACAGAGGAATGACCCTTTTAAGAACAGATGAATGAAGTTTTACATAATAAACTGTTCCTGCTCCCCTCATTTTTCATCTAGGGAAAATTTTGTATTTCATCAACCTTCGCTTAAGACTGTGTTTATTTTCTGCAATCTTTTAGTGATAAATAGAGTAATTTAAGACACCCCAAAGGATTTTTCCATGACAACTTCTGTAGTAAATATATGTTTTCTAAATGCAAAATCATATTAATTTGTTTGATGGTAATGGAGATAATTGTCAGTAATTAACCTCTACATGGTTTTCCCAGATAAACATCTTAAAACAGAGATAAACAAAATGTCTTGAAGTGAAATCTGTTTCAAATGCTTAGCTACAGTATACACTAAATATGACAATATGTATGCTTTTTTGTTCTAAGCCATCCAGTATTTTACCTGAGTGGAAAAAACGCCCACAAATCGCACCAATCTAGTTCTTCTATCTTCTGTCCTTAACCTTCATATAATTGATTCTTGAGAAATTTCTTTCATAACTTTACCAAAAAAGCCCAGACAGTGTTTTTAAATGGGTTTTGAGTTTAAACTGGAAGAGAACAAGGGAACGTCTAGAGCATCTCAAGCAGAAATAAGCATTAGTGCACTGTGGTTTTGTTACAGCAAAACAATTCCACAAGCCAGACCGATCCTTCCCGCATGCTGGGAGAAAGTGGGATACTCACCAAAGACAGTCCTAGCAGGGACAGATTCTCTGTTTAGCCAAAATGACACTTGTGATAAGATCACAGTCATAATGCAAGGAAGGTACGTCTGGATGACAAAATAACCGATTTTTCTTTTCAGATGAAAATGGGCTGTCATAATAGTATATTCACCTAGAAGGAGAAAAAATGTGCATGTGGGTAAAATAAGGGAGGCTTACTGATTTAGGGACTTAAGCAGGCCAGCTCCACCTTCCCCCTCCCCATTTGAGGATACCATTCAGCCATTCTTAATTGCATGAAAAATGTCTGGGATTCTGTGCTGTGGATAACCAGGACTTGAGACAGAGGTGCTGCTAGATCCTGCTAGTCTTCACATTCAGCCCCTAAAAGCAGAAGACGACCGACTACTCCTACTGCACTGAAAAGCTGCAGTCCTTTTATGCACCTGGGATGTCTTGATAGTCACAGGCTTAAAAAATCCAGGTTGCTGGTACTGCCTCAGTCCTGCCTGGTTTTGACTCAGTTCTACAAACTGTCTTACCAGAGTAATGATTAAGGCCACCTACTCTTAGAAACCTGATTTAGCAGCAGGAGTTAACCTCATTAGGGAAACTGTTATTGCCAAGCCATCAGTTTTCAAGAATGAGAACAGGTCCAGACATTCCTTCTGCACCACACTTTGGGGACTGCCTGTCCCAGTGTCAGTGCTGCCAAAATTGCAGCTTTGCACATGGATCCTGGGATGTCTTATTGATCTGAGTACCCAAACCCATCAGATTGCTTCTCCAGAAAAAAAAAAGTCCCTCTAGTGCATGCAGTTTGCTTAGAATTTGGTACACCTTAGCCCTTGCAAAGATAATCTGTTTCCAGATAGACATTGTGCCATTGTTCACTTCTGCAATGAATATGGTACTGCCTGCATGGAAAATTCACTGAAAGCTGCCACAGCAGTGCTAAATTCCATGTCTTTTTTATATGCCAAATTCACAGCATTGCCTTAATCTGCCTTTTGTCAGGTCCTCTGAATTTCAATAAAAGCCTAAAAAAATGCACTCTAAAATCGACAGACCAGCTGTCACCTTCCCTAATGTTTCAGAAAAAATCAAAACTCAACCGGTTCTTTCAGACTGTTCCTGGAAAACGATATAGTTGTTACTGAAGGCTATGATGGTAACTGCTCCCCAAAGCCAAAATCTTGCTAGCTAAAAACAGGCTACTATTTGCCTAGGAAAAATAAGAGTAAAAACAAAATGTAAGAATAAAAAACAACCAACCCCTTCAAGCCCTAACATCTCCACTCACATTGATACCAAATTAATTTAAAAGCATGCATCCTTCAGCTGGGTACTGATGAATCAGAGTAATGCCTGTTCTGAAATATATATTGTCCTCCAAGAACAAAACAAATATAGCTATAATCTCTGTTGGAAGACTTGACTGTTAGTCTCTATAGACCAGCCACAAAAGGAAAATCTGTAACAGACTGATTCTGCCTTGAGTGAATAGCCTGAGTTGAGCTGTGGCCAGCATTGCTAAGCAGTTAGATTTGGCAGATTATTTCTAAGTGACAATATGGCTAATTAGCAGAGAACAGGTCTACAGTGAAATGGCTTTTGCAGGTATAGCTGCACTGATATGTTATGCTAGAGGAGCTCTGCTATTCTGGATGAAGTGTACAGACCTTGTTCGTGCTGAGGATTTTAGACAGAAAGACTGGAATAGCACAGAAATACCTTACCTGACAGCCTGCCTCAACCTTTATGACTTTCTTCTGGAGTCTGATTTTCTGGCACAACAGTTCCCTGAAGGGGGATGTGGAGATGGACAGGGAATGTGGTGAAACTGGGGAGAAAAACCCTGTGAAGCAGCATCTAATTCACTTCCATTTATTGTCATTTTGAACCAGGGATGTGGTCTCAGGAGGAACCCCACTTGCTCTTTATTTAGAACCATTTAGTTTGTGGATTACCCATAAAATATGCCAGGAGCAGCAGGTCTATGTGCCTGTAATCTGAGTTGCTACTGCACTGGGATGTGTTTGAGTCACAGTTTCCCTGCTCGCTAAAGAGTGACTATGTGCATTATTGATTTTGACAGTATGCTTTTGGAGCCGGAATAAAAAAAATCTACACAGCTTCAGCAGAGCAACAGGATCCCCTTTTTACCTTTTTAAAATGCAGAAAATGAATGCCTACAGTTTGATGGCCCTCTGCAGCCGATTTTTCCTTATCATTTTCTTTAACCTATCAAAGCTCTTGTCTCCACTGAAATAATGATATCGCTTTGATTTCGTACTTGCTCTTCTTCCAATCAATATCTTCTCCGGTTTCCCATGCTGTCCCTTTCAAAAATGCCTACACTAGGAATGCTTTCTCCAGCAGACTTGGGGCTTAAGAAAACCCCACAGCTTGGTTTTTAAAGCCCTGGGACCACTGCTTAAAGTAAAGCTAAAAGCTGCCTGAGTTGGCCTTTTGTTTATATAGAACAAAATCCTGGGTCTGTTGGAGTGGCAAAGCTCCCTTTTACTTCTGTAAGGCCACTGTTTATCCTCAGATCATAAGCTTTCTTGAGCAAGAGCTAATTTTTGTTATGGGTTTATGTAGCACTTAAAAGAGAATCCTGTTCCTGATGGAGTCCACTCATCAGTGCACAAAACAATTTTAATAACAAATTTAGCACTAATCAAAAGCCCTAGAGCGGGAATGGCTGCATTTCTTCACAGAGCTATGCTACTGTGCTGCTGCTGGTCTTAAGGGTTTTTTTTAATGCTTTAAAAGCTGCTATAGGATTTTTTTGGTGTCTAGATGATGGAGTTCTGGAGATCATGCTTACAAATTTTCCAGGATCTTACATGCATTCTTCCATTGCCATTATGCTGGGATTCAATAGAGTATTTTAATGAGGCTGGACCAGCCCCCAGGCTCGTTTGTTTACTGGATATACCTGGACTCAGGTGTATCAACAGCTGTTATGGCAAGATCCTGACATTAGGTCTGCGATGCTGCATCCCTCACCATGCTGACATCCAGAATCTTTTGGCTCATGAGAAAAGCATGTCCTTTTTACAGTGATGCAGGGGAAAGATTCATCTCAAGGAAAAAAATCAGAATTATTTCGTGCAAAATGAGGGGTTGAATGCTTCTTTTATTATTTAGGCTTTGGATATTTCAAAGCTCAGGCTCCAGCTGGCAGAAGATAAAAGAGTGGGTTTTTGTTTTGTTTTGTGGCACTGCAGATCCTACGTTAGCAATGAGAGATTCTGAGTATGGGGAACAGAACTGGGCAACCATTTGTGGAAAGCAGCAAGATCCACTTGGACCCAAATCCCGTATCTGATTCTTTTCAGCACTTGTACCACCAGGACATAACAGATGTTGGGGCTGTTGGAAGCAGTGTGAGTAGTCAAATAACTTCTCTTTGGGGGGGATGACATTTGGGGATGTTAGCACAAAGAAAAAAAACCAACAAACAGGTGGCACATGTCAGAGCTATTTTCTGTGGCATGGCTAAAATGTTCCCAATTTCAAGACTGGTTCGTGAATTGGGAGTGCTAGGATATTTTTTCTGAGAAGACAGCCAAACTTAGCGGCTTGCCTACAAAATCAGCAGAATCCCAAGGGACTGGTGCAGGTCCAGCACTTCCATTTAGAAAAGAAAGTCTGCTAGAAAGGAGAGCATAAATGTCCTATGACATACACAAACATTTTGCCTGTGCAACTGCAAGGGCTGTGTAGTTTGACGTGTGTCAAAAAACCCACAAAAGATCCAAGCGCTTGGATCTGTGCAATAGCTATTTGGGTTTTCTTTTTTATGTTCAACAATTCAGTAGAAGGAAGAAATGCTTTAGATGGTCGTTCATAAGTAACCCTGATTACTGGCCTCCTACGAGCTTGATGAAGTCCAGAAAATCCATCGCTGACTGATGCTTTCCCTGTGCAAAATCGGATTTTTGTATTTTGCTAATCCCCGGTTACAATCTGTGTCCTGCTCTTTGTGATCCACCCTGCAATCAGAATCCAGCCAGCCCAGATGTAACCCGGGACATTAATATAAAATCTTGACGTTGGAAAACAAGCATTTATTAGCCTAAATCTCAAGATACAGGAGGGAGGTGGTTACCAGGCAGAAACTTTGGGATATGTCTGAAGAGTCCCCTGTTTTCTTGGTCTGAGGAGTACAAGGAGCTTTCACAGGCAAAGCTGCAAACTGGAAGTGGCCTGGAGCTGACACGCTGGAGCACTCACTGCCTGGGCTGGATGGTTTTCTTGCGCTGAGGAGCAGGACGAGTTTGTAGGAGATGCCCCAGTACGTCCTCTGGATCTTTTTCTTGGCAACAATGAAGGCGAGAGGGGAGTTGCCGTTCATTGCAGAAAACAACGCGGCTATGATGGTAAACTGGTAAGGAAAAAAGTGTCTTTGCTCTTTAATGGGAGATAGTGTACCCATCCTTTTTCTGCAGCGGTGGCTGCTCTGACTCTGTCTATAGTCTTCTCTTGACTTTAGGAATCTTTGCTTTAGCAACAGCTTTGTGTCTCCCAAAATGGGCGAGGCGGGGGTGAAGCTCTATAGGATGGAGACAGCGGTTGTGTTCAGTGGCTCCCCTGCGCTGCCGGAGGCAAGCCTTCCCTCGCTTTGTGCCCTCTTTGGAGAGTAAGCGGCAAGCTTAGCTGCCCCCCGTTTTTATTTGCCATGTTTGGACAGTTTGAGCAGAAAGCTTTACGCACCTTCATGTTTCGGTCCAGCTACCTTGGTGTACGAGTGTACGTTTACCTGTTTTCACATCTCCTAAATTTCCTGTGGATAGTAACGGGTTCCCAACTCAACCCATACCTTGTCCTCTACAATCCTGCCTGCGGCTCAAAGCCCGTCACTTTTCACCAGGGATGCAGTACATCCCAGAAGGCTGTCGTGCTTTGCCAGCAGGAATTTCTCCTGGCCCTGTTGCTGCAGGCCGACCCCTTTCCCCACCCCAAGCCCCGCGCGACCAGCGGCCGTGGAGATGCCCCTTCCCCTCACGGCAGGCTATTTTGTTCCCCCCCGTCCCTGGCTGGATGCCACTAATGCTCTCCAGCCGAGTGCCTTGTGTAACCTGGTTAAGCCCCCGTCCTGCTGAGCCCACGTGATGCCTGTCCCGGCCCCGACCCCCCCGGGAGTCCCCCCGCCAATGCGCACCCAGGGCTGCCCTTGCGTGGGAGCCTTGAGAAGCAGGGGGGCACGGCTCACGTGGGTGCCCGGCCCGGGATTAAAGCTTCTTTGCCTCCCTAATGCTGCCACATCTGCCGCCTCCGCTCGCGGCCCCGGAGGAAATGGGAATCCTCGGGGTTCGCGCCTCCCCTCGGCCCACGTCGTCCCCCCGGACACGCTGCAGAGCCACGCCACGGCCCCCACCTGCCCTCTGCTCCCTCCCCGCTCCCCGCGGTTTCATCAAGCAAATCATTTCAAAGCGGTGATTGAGACGGATCAAGTGCGTGGGTAGTGTTTGCCTCCCGGGGTGGTTCTTCCCACAGGGAAATCAGCCAGCGACGGTGCTGGCAGCCTCGGCAAAGGCGGTCGCCAAGAGGCTGCGTGCAGCTTCTCCAGCGCTCCTGTTAAATAGTGGGAGCCTGGATGCGTCTTCAGCAAGAGCCTTGCAACGTACCTAAGAGCCAGCATACAACACTCTGAGTGTTTCGGTGCCTCTGCTAAGTAGCCAGGAACCTGCACAGGACCTCCCTAGCACCCCACGTCCCACAGATGCTTCCCTAGCCTCCTCGCAAAATAGCCGGAGCCTCTGGATCTCCCCTCCCACTCCGACTGTCAGCAATCATGGGATGGAAATATTCTCCCTACCTGTGCTGGTACTGATGTTTTCAGTTCCTACAGTTTGTCCCATCAGGTGGTACTGGTTAAGTCGTGAGCCGTCTTCGGCCACCACCACAGACGTTGTGGTGCTATTAGTCCACACATAGATCACTTCAGAGTTGGGGTAAGCATCTGTTCACAAGGGGGAAAAAAGACAGGGATGAGTAAAAAACACTGTCTAATATTTTAGTGGATCCTTAAATGATAAACAGTGGGGAGAGGGAAGAATGGATGAGTGAGAGTGAATGGAGAAAAACAAATAAAGATGATATAATCATGTTCCCATATGCCCAGCTCAAAAAATATTAGGTTGAAGCCTCTAATGTAACAGATGTGTGGGATGGTTTGTGAAAGGCTGGAACAGTGGAGGTATAAATATAATCCATCATAACCACTCGATTTGGGAAAGAGCAGCTCAGACCCATACTCACCTGGCTGGCAGCTCCTAAACCCCGGCAAGCTGCAAAACGCATTTTGCCCAAATCCCCCCTCAAAAAGACTCAGGCATCTTAAGTGCCTGGACAATGGGGACCCTCTGTGTCTCGTCCCGTCTCCAGGATAAAATACTAAGTGACAGAGTGTGCAAGTGCAGGGTCTGGTGCGTGCGCGCTGACTTTGGGATATGGACGCGTGGATGAGGGGGTAGGTCTTGCGTGCAGGCGACGGCTGTAGATGAAGGCAGCTGGCATGTGTCTGCCTGTGCCTGTGATGCTGAGGAGCAGAGATAGGATTTGGGGGTGAGACTGCATGAAGGAGAGCAGGACTGGGGGGGGGGGGCATACCAGAGAGAATGGGGGGGGGGGCGGAAACACCTGCACACCTGGAGATGCAAATGTGATAAGATTTCTCTCACATTCATTTGGAAGTCCTAGGAGATAAAGGTGGTGGCAGTACAGCCAACTCCTTCCTTTCTCTATAATGTTGCTGTTATTTTTAATGCCCTAACACCTGGAGTAATTATGCTACTATAAGGGAACCTCAGTTTTCTTTTAGAAAGACCATCAATGCTAGTTTTATTTTTTAAGCCTTCTCTGCACATAGTCTCAAAAAATCCAGGAGCTGACTACACATTTAAATATATTTTATTTAATTTAAGTAGCTCTCACATGTTTTAGAACACCTCGATCATTGAAAGCTTTCAGGTAACATTACTACAGGCATGTTACAGTAGGCTGGAGGCCATTGTACTAAAATTTCTGGAAAGCAAGCAAGGCTTACTCTCCAAATAGGAGTTGAAAAGCAGGTAGAGTTGGAAGTGGTCTGAAGTCAAATACTAATATCTCACCTTCTGCGCTCTGTAACTTGTAAGTTGGGGGTGCAGAATGTTTCCTTCTGGACAAACTCACATCCTAGTTCAATGCAATCTGTGCAGGGGGCAACACATGGTGCCTTTCCAGATACGGACTTGAGAGTCAAGGGCAAGAGGTTAGCTTGAAGGATCGTGTGTACTGGCTCCATCAGACTGCAAGTTTTGTTTGCTAGAGCTAGTAAGCTGTCTTGGAAAGCTGCAGCTCCATGGAGAACTTAAAAATTTTCACAGACAGTGGGTCAGCATGAGCTTCTGAGGCACTGCAATGGCAAGAACTATGCTAAGGCGGTCCCTTGATCCATACAACCAGGAATGTCAAAGCAGAAATTGGGAAGTGATCCCGGTTCATGTGAAGAGCATAAGTGCATGGCACAATGACCTGCAGATCACTTGGATGTTGGAGCAGGTAGCAGGGAAGAAAGCAGCACCTTCCTTTCACTGTTGTTAATCTTCCTGTGGCATCTGTGGGAAGTGCTGCCAGAGGTGGGATGCTAGGCTAGATACACCTTTGGTCTGACTGTTTATGGCTATTCGTACGTTGTTGTCCACACCTCAGAAAAGGTATGGAAATACTGAGGACAGAGAGGGGGAGAGAGTTCAAAAGGGGTTCACAAGTATCTCCAGGGACTGGAAAACAAGTCATGATTTGAAGCTTAAGGAGCTTAACTTATTTAGCTCACTGACAAGAAGCTGAGATGTGAGTCAAGCGCTGAGTATAGATACTTGCATGCAGAAATCTAAAACCAGGGTAAATTTCTTGTACTACTGACAAGAGGAGAAAAATTCAGTGCCTGAAAGATGGTTTCAGGCAGATTCAGATGAAGAACAGGACACAATTGCCTAACTGGGGGGGTGGGGTAATTAAACAGTGGATAACCTTCTGAGAAAAAAATTATGTACTACTGTCACTAGAAAGATAATGACAGGACGAGCTCTTTTTTGTCACATATCTGACAGTTGTTGCTGCTGTATTCAGGGCTGGAGCTGATCCAGGGTTTGGAAGTTGAGGAGCTACAAATCCTCCATCCCCTGTTAGCCATGCAGCTATGCAGGACTGCCCACACGCCTTCCATGTGCTTGTATTTGTAGCTGTGCAGTAAAATTACTGTAATTACATCTCATGATCCACTTTGAAAGGCTAAGAAGGAATGTCTTCCCTATTTCAAAATATTTGCATCACAAAAAGGGATGGAATTTCACCTTCCCTTTAGAGCTGAGATACTTTGTCATCTCAGAAATGTTTACAAGTTCACAACATGTTGTAAATAATTCCAAAGCCAGATCTGGACATGGCAAGTAGGAGGAGATGGGTCCATTTAAAAAGGTGCTGCAGAAAGCCCTCCTTTTTAAATGCTTATCTGGTATATGTTGGTCATGTGCTGATATCCCCAGTGAAAGCTGGATTTGTGTAGGCAGATTTGGGATTGTCAGGGAATTTGATTTTTACCTGTGTTACTTCCTATGCAAAAAAAGCATTGGACTTCTTGCTGGGATGATCCAGATGCATCCCACCTCAGCAGTTTGGTGTTACTGCAAGGATCCCAGGCACTGGGATAATTGGGTTTGTCCTGTTTTCTGCCAACAACACACAATAATTCAGCCTGACTAGATGCTTCCCAGTGAGAGTACTGTAACCAAATTCCACTGAAATTGCAACCACACAGGAACATAGGCCTGTAAAGCTTAACAAGTATTCAGATGCTTTAGTTCTCTGCTCTGCCTATCCTTGGGCATCCTAAAATAAATCAGTGCCTCTGCTTTGAATTGCAGCCTTTACTGGGTACTTAAACACATACACCAGTACAGGGTTGGAGGCTCCTACTCTGGTGAATCCCAGCATCTCCTCCTGTAAAAAAATATTTGTAATTCAGACAGAGACCAGAAGGTGCCGAAACTCCACCCAGCTCTCGCAGGTATGCCGAAGCAATACTTCGTGAGGCTGCTTTCTTTCGAAACCACAGCAGGGAAGGCTGACTGCCCATCCCAGGGCAGCTGGTGAGAAGAGAGAGCACTCAGGCAGGCAAGAGCAGAGCTTGAGGCCAGTCCCTGCCTGGGAGGAGGACTCCAGCCTGCAGGTCCTCTCTCACGGGAAGATATCTATTGCGAGGCTACAAGACAGAGACCTGTGCGACTGCTTGGCCAGGAGTAGATTATCTACGGGAGACAGGAGAATAGCCCAGCTAGAAGAGGTCCTTGTGCAGGAGCAGGATGGTTATGGCCCGGGCTTTAAGACACAAGAGGGTAACAGCTGTGTCCCCACGGAGCCCAATCCAAACCAAGGCAACCTGCAGTGATTTCCCCCCCTCAGAAGTCTGTCACATTAGGAATAGGATGAATTTACACCAGTCTACAGATACTCTATTGTGATGGATTACATATAGGATATGATCCTCATCTATCTTCCATTCAAATGTAAGAAAACATGGTCTGTGTTTTAAAATCTGTAATATAAGATTTTTGGCTTAGTGCTTCCTTTCCTCACTATAGGCCGGGCTCTGAGTGTCTAAGCCTCCTTGGGAGAAAGAGAAGAATGGAGAAAATGTCAACATGAATGTGAATGTAAAACGATACAGCTACCCCCTGAGTCCATACGTACCCTTGAGAGAAACTTACAGCTCTGACAGGAAAAAGCCACCCCATGCACCTTGCTGTGGCAGCTGAACCACTGAGCATCTCTTTTCTGGTCATCTAGATAAACATCCAAGTAGATAAACCTGTGTACTTGTAGCAGGTAGTTGTCTTCCTACTGCAAACCTTCTGCCATGTCTTCTCAGAAACCTCAAACTCCAATTATCCCAAACTTGCCTACCAAAAGCTCCAGCTCTGCTGCTGATAGCCAATGCAGTATAATTAGGCACAGTCATATTGAAAGCTGAAAGTGTGGGAGTAGTCTAGAATAATGTTATTTTGCTATTGGGATAGAGCAAGTGCTAATGGAGAGATGGTATTATCCACTGTCGTATCAAATTGTGTAAAAAAACTCTTCCACTTAAGCAAAGCTTCCAGTAGGTTGCCAACCAACCATGCTTGCTGAAGGACTGAAGAACTTCAGCCCATGCTTTCTGGAGTTATGAGAAAGGTTTACTGCTGATAAGGGAATATGGCCCTCATCTCCTCTACATGGCACACAGGGTGGGGACAAGGAATCTCCCAAAGGGTGGTAGAAAAATGTAGTAGAGGCTTTGGGTTAGCAAGCTGGGAGAATGCTGCTGGTGTTGCTGTAAAAGCAAACTCAAATTCAAAGCGACTGAAAATCCAAGTGAGACTGCTTGGTGTTTATTCTACTTTAAGCAAGTGGGCTTCTTCTGCTTTTATGAATCCAAATAATTACTTTGGTGTTCTTTAAAATCATTTTGCTGGTTTACCAAAGAAAGGGGGAAGCCTTGATAAATTATTCTTTCTCATCTTAGCTCACTCTTTCAAAAAGCAAAAAAAAAAAAAAAAGAAAAAAAAGGTAGCAGTTGAGATGAACAGCTAAAATTATAGAGGGGTATAATGTTATTAAAAGTGAGAAAATGACAACAGACATTTATTTCTAGTGGACATTTGATAAATGGTTGCAGGCTTATCACCTACCAGAATGATGAAATAAGTAATTTCTTCTCATATCTGTTTATGGATGAGCAGAGCCATTTTTCTACATTTTAACATCCAACACACACCACACAATATAAAAACAGTAAAGATCTCCCTTGCTTTTCTCCCCCCTCCCCCCTTCCTGCTCTTGTAAATGTCTGGGAAGGAAAGCACAACGTGGTCTTTCTTACGCCAGCGAACAGAGGGCAGGGGAGCGACCACAGCCAAAGGGAGGAAATACTTTTAA